CCCCAAAACCCCAAAACCCCAAAACCCCAAAACCCCGCTCTGCCAGTTTAATATTAATCTTGGTTTGAGCAAATAATTAAAAATATTAAAATTGATTATTACGCTAGATTTCATTTCAATAATGATTACTGCTGCCAACCAAAAATCGATAGTAACATTAAATAATGCAAGTAATACATAATTCAAAGAGGATCTAGAAATTAATTCATAAGAGCTGCATGACCTGCTCGATGGGTTTGACATTGATGCCCTTATCGAGCTCAGCAAAAATCCAGGTTTAGCTTGTTTACCAAACCCAACAGTAAGTGGAATCTTGGCTGCTCATGAGAGTTTACTAAAGCAGGAATTCGAAGTTGGAGACGACGATTTTTGTGATACGGATGATGATGACTATATGAAGCAAGAAGACTACCCAATTGAGACAAAAACCATGATGGACTACGTGGATGATTTAGAAGATGAAGATGAAGAAGATCAGCATGAAGTAGATGATCTAGAAGAGATTCTTAGGAATGAGAAAATACAACTTCAATAGATGTATCCAGAATTGCTTCTTTAAAATCCAAGCTTAATATCTGGCAAACCTAAAAAACCATATAAAAGAAGAGAAAGCTTAGCTTTTAGAAGAGAGCAAGAGGAATGCATGCTGCTTCCCTTTAGAACTAAAAGATATGAAAAGGTAAATAATAATGGAGAGGAAAAGTAAATAAAGGCTGAGGCTAAAAGAGTCAGAGTAAATGAAAGAGTGAAGAAAAGACAAAGACTCCTCTGAGAAGAAAAAATGCTTGAAATATAGAAATTGATCGATGCTGGATAATTGACAGTGGAGGCACTTAAATGGAAGGTAAGAAGAGAGCCTGGTGAAATTACTCCTTAATAAAGGACAATTAACTAGCAAAAGCGTGTATATCATAATTCTGGATGCAGTGATAGTAATGATGCTGCAATGGCAAGCATTAGAAAAGAATTTTCAATCAAGAAAAATGGAGAGCCCTGAATGTCAAGTGAAAGATGGTCTGATGAAGATCATAATAGATTTGTAAAAGCATTAAAAACAATCGGTAAAAACTGGAAGCAAATAGCCATTGATGTCGGAACTAAAAATGAGTAGTAATGCCGAACTAGAGGCTTGATAATCTTTAATAGATTATAAAGACATTGTTGGGATGAGGAGCTGAAAAAGATATTAACTCCTCATTAAGGTTACATGCCTAGAGATGCAATTGAGCTTAAGAAACGAGAAGAAAAAAGACTTTTAAAATAATAAAAAAAGGATTAAATTTTGGAGAAAAAAACTCAACTTTAGACTAAAAACTCAAAATTAAAAACAATTTTAGCAAGCAAGAAAGTAGATTAAGGAACAACTACAGACATTATAATGAATACTTAAAAAATTCCAATCACTCCTTGCAAGCCTTTTAGAATTGATACTTCTAAACCATTTATGATTATTAACGAAAAGCATCATCTGTATTAAAAAGAATTGAAAAAGATTAATGAGGAAAAAGAAGAAGAAGATCCCGAATCAGATATTATAAAAGTAATTTAATGAATATTTAACTTATTAAGGTAAAATTTGAGAAAAAAAAGCCAAAAAGAGATACAAGCAAAGATATCAATCCTGAAAAAATTGAAAAAGAAATTTCATAGGTAAAGAGGTTCAAGAAAATAGGGAAGTTTGAGGAGGATTTAATCTTAGAGCAGTCTATTAAGGTTGAAGATTTGATCAGAGTTAAAGATTAGGATCATTCAATTATTTAAAGTTCCTAGGAGACCTGTTTATTGTAAAAATCAGATATTAAAGTGCTCAAAATAAAGGAAAAATTGCTTAGTTCACAGTTAAATTAAAAGATCCTCTCTTAGCCTAGGGAGAAAATACCAAAGTAGTTGACTTAAGAAACACCAATCATCTTACAAGTATAGAAAATATAGCCAGAATAGCAACAATAATAATAGCAGGCATCTTAATAATCTTAAAAGCCTGTACTAGCAAGCTCTTAGAAAAGCTAGAAAAAAATATTTATAACCTAGTCTTAGGTGATAATTTAGAATCCAAGGATAATTCTGAAGATCCAGAAAAGATCATTGAAAAAAGAGGATTTATCTAAGTCAAATAACAATACAGTACAGTCCCAAAACAATAAACATAAAAGGGCGCAATCAAATGGTATGCAGGTTAAACTTAAGAAGCCATCACCTAATAGTAATAACAGTAAAAAAAGAAAAATAAGTCTCCTGAAATCAATTATAGAAA